CAGTGGACGGAGTTTTTTGAATTTTCTTGGATAACTACTGACTGCAGCACTTATATCCACCTCGTGGATTAAAGCCTCGAGAATGCTCTACCATTTGTTAGTCATAAATGTTACCTATGAATTTTTCAGAAAAAAAGAAAATTTTGGAAAGAGTGTCGCAGAACTTTCTTGCCAACCTAATAGATAATAACGGTGATTACGGAGTTCAATGGGAGAGTTTGTAGAAAACTGTGAGAGGATTTAAAACATGATCCAAGTCCCTCAAAACTTATGTAACAGCCAGACAATTTAAGATAAAGAAGTTTTAGAATTTCTGCTGAAACAGGACGAGTAGCGTGCTGGCAGGCGGCGCCGTTTACCATTATCATCGTTAAGAGATCAAATACGAATCGCCATTCACGACAACCAAGCCTTCTATTATATTTCTCCGAAGTGGATTGTCTGGGTAGACAAAAACAATCACTTGCTTTTATTGGATAACTGCTGTTTTATGTTGCAGTTCGCGTTGCGAAAGTTATCACAAGAATGCTGAGTTGTGGGCAAAACTATTCGCCATTTAATCCTTCCATCGCATGACCTCCGCAATCCTTGTATAGACGAAATCGCATTAAAATGCCACCACAATCTTGAATGCATGTAAGAAGCGTGGCACATACCCAAAGAGGCTGACCAACCCCGAAAACTTCATGATGTATCTTTAAATGAATGGAGTCAAGGATCTTGAAAGCGTTGAAATGTAATTTTCTAGAAGAAAAAAGTGATGCAAAAACGGCCCTTGTTCCATGATGACATCATAACAGTATTCAAGCCCTCCAAAATCGAAGGCCAACTTTCCGTTTTGTTTGTTCCCCAGCCTTTCGCATTTATAGGGTATGCTTTCGCGGAGATGCGGCCATAATCTGCTTGGCAAACACGGGCCCGTGCTGTTATGACGATCAAAACGCTAGTCAAGCACCAGGAAGACGTAACGGAGGCTCCGAGAAATGTGCTTGTGGTAAAAAAAAAGACGAGCATCTTCCACTTGTTCAATCAAAACGCGATTATAAACCAAAACCATACAAAGAGCTAGCCAGGATTAAAGCTGAAACTCACTGGAAATTCGTAGGATTGCTGATGTCCTCTTTTCGTATACGAGGCCGTTTATCCTTCTTCTTTTTGTCTTTCCGAGAGAAGAATCCACCCGTAGTTCCTGTTGTGGAAACCTTCTCAGCATGTACCATTGTGCCAACCGGAGTAACTCCGCCAGATAAAGGGACAGGAGTAGAGTGCGCGCTGCCGCTACTTGACGACAGTACAAAAGGAGTATTCAGTGTAGGTGCCAAAGGATTTCTTGCTGCTGCTGAAAGGAAAATTGTCAGGTTGATGCAACACACTTCACCTTCCATCTAAATCTTCTAATTTTTATCTGCACTAAAAGCACAGCATTTGTTAGTGCGCTACCGTTGAAATGACCAGCTTTGAAAATAAATCTGGCTTCTAAATTCGAGCAGTTTTTCTTTACAAAATAGAAAATTAATTCATGCTCGTTTTTAGTATTCACATTCGAGTCTATAGCGAAAATAATGGTTCCTGTAGTTTGTTTAATTCGAGGAGCGAGGTTATGGTCAGCGCAGTGTACTTGATGTATGACACTTTTCGAAGGCACCCAAACGACGTGAATAACTCCTGTGGACTATTTCTTATTTTACTAACTTTTTTTTATCAATTTACCACTACCCCAGCACCACTAGAAGTCAGTCTCACTCATCCCATTATACAACAGCACAGCTCGTTAGCCAATATTTGTGTCCATGTCATGCACCGCAGCGCCACCCCGCTGGTCCTGCTTGCGAATGGAGGACCGGTTTGCAAGCTCGCATACAAGGAACTTGATTTTCATTTGCTGATATCAATTTTGCTAAGAAACATGAGAACCTACGCACACGAGCACTTGAGTAAGCTGCCAATCGAAAACAAATCTTACCGGAATCAAAAAAAAAACAGCGCTATCGGATGGGAAAGGTGAAAGGCACCCTAGACAAAACGCTAGAAATAGGACTTGTTTTGTTTGTTAACTGCTGTTTTAACGCCGCAGTTCGCGTTGCGAATGTTTCACAAGAATGCTGGGTTGTGAACAAAACTTTCGCCCCAGGCGGGACTAGAACCCGCACCTCTCGCTTTCCGGGCAAGAAATAGGCTCAGAACCTCGAGGGAAAAAAGATCTGTCATGCGTTATGGTGCGAAAATCTGCAGAACGGTTTTGCTATCTGTAATGGAAGCGACTTTCAAGAGTCGTACTCGTCTATGAAGCCCGTTGTAATTTTGCGGCAGCATTTTATTCTCCGCTTTGCCATTTTTTGGATCTCACATGATTTTCCATAAGAATTTCACTCATCATACAGGAATGTCGCACAACTAATGGACCTGAGGTGATACGGCGACTACTAGTCAGTTTTTGTACAAAAAAAAAAAAAGGGCAACCAGCTGCCGGGAATATTTGCCACCTAATCCGTGTCTAGAGATTAAGGACTGGTCCACTTCCCCTGCAACTGTCCTCATCACTCCTTCCCAATGTTTACCAGAACAGGATAGTACCTAAATTTTCCAATAAACCCCCCCCCCCCCCAATTCGTTGATGAATTAGGATGCCTTTTACTTGAGCATCAGCCAAAAAGTCTCCTTCAACACTTTTACAAAACAAACAGCCTCATTCAAGTGTGAAACATTCTAATCCAACGTCACTTATAAAAAAGAGTGGACACCATCAGCTCACTGCTCTAATAAAAAAAACCAAAAAGTGTTAAAAGCAACTCAAGAAACACTCGGTGGAAATAAGAACACGATGACTACTGAATTTATTCTCAAAGGATATTTAAAATGTAGACAAGAGGAAAACGCAAACCCACAACAAAGTTAGACTTGCGGGACATTTTAGCTGCTTTTTAAGTTCAAGGTCTTTGCGTGACTTCTTGACCTTACGAACAGTGGTTTCTTAAAAGTCATGAAAACGCACCAATAATTGGAGAGCCCTCCCGCTAGTTCGCACCTCTTTTGCTAACGTTGATGCGTTTATGGTGACGGGACTACTACATTATGAAGTGATAAGAGCTGCCCTTTGCTTGTTTTTTGAAGAGCAACACCTCAATCTCAACAGAGAAATGCAGGCTTATTAGCAATTCATATAAAAGCACCTGTACTCCGAGTACATACAAACATTGTCCAACACTATCACAAACAATAGCGCGAACATGTCGAAAGTCCACTCACGTGGACGTGGGTCTCTTATAAAATACTTGAGCGCCGAGTGGCGCACTTGCAGCGCACGGTCACCCCTCTCACAATAGTACGATTCGTTCAGGACAGAAAAAAACCACGTCAAAAGTGGAATTCAAGAGCAACTGAGAAAGGAAGGGAGAACAAAGTGATCACGCACACAAATGAGCCAATTACTATATTATTCACTCCATACCTGTTGAATTATCTCGCCACTTGGTGTCGAACTGCCGTTGCGAGTTATCAGAGGAGGCACAGTCGGAAGATGCGTAATCTGGAGTAGGGATGATGACTACAGATCCCCCACTTTTCACGCCATTTGACGTTCCAGGTGATTCGCGCGACACTGCGTACGACACTCTTTTCCCCTTTGAGACTCTTCGTGGGGCAGTTTTTTCAAGAGGAGGTGTTCGCGTCGAATATGTTCCATCGCGATCTGTTTCTGAAGAAGTTGGGACGCATGAAACAACATATTTCCCACAGGAAACAGGAACTGGTGAGACGTGATAATAGCCTCCGTGTTCAATTGGCCGAGCAAAGCCATCGGTGCGGCTAGCTGGATCATATTGAGAATAATAATAAAAGCCCTTTCCTAGAGATGAATGGCGACCAATGCTTGAGGATAGTAAACGCGACGGTGCTTGATAATCAGATGATGAGGTAGATCCAGATGAACGATGAGAATGATCACCATATCGAAACTCGACACCAACTTGCCACTGTGGCTCAGGTGTTACATTGTCGTAGCGCTCATCCTCATATTTAGTAGTGGAATACAGAGGAGAATGACGGGGCGAAAGAAGGCCCGGGTTTGGAAAGCGAAGACATCCTCGAGAATAACGCTGAGGAGTGCTGACCATGGCAGAAGTACTGGCCGGTATTCGCCTCGGCGGACCAGGCAGATCTCTATAGCTGAAGTGTACTCGACCAAATGTATCTTCGCTGACGACCATCCACATAGCAAGCAACAATGTCAGACAGGTGGCCTTCAGTAGCGATGCTCAGCAAATCATAGGTAATGACATCATTAGCAAACTGGTTACAGCTTGTAAGGTGATTATATGGAGGAGGCTGAGCGGGTGAAGGCACAAACCAGCTCCACCAGGAGGCGGAGCATAGACTGCACAAGCATTGGCCATAAGACCGACCGTCGTAGCGAAAATCGGCGCAAGCGGGAAAGCACGCTCTGTTAGGATTTACTTCAAAAAAAATCTGATCGATCACTTGCGCTAAGCTTTGATAGGAATGTCAATCACACTCTCGCACGGTATATTTCGGAAATTTCTACAAATTGTTTCCAAAGAATGGGGGTGATAGAATGAAGCCTCACATGATTTGCCTTCTTGTTCGTGACGTTTATCCAAATGTCCTTTGAAGTCTCGTGCTTCATCAACACAGGCAAAATTCAGTCCATAGACTTTTCGGTGCGACTCGTCCTCAAAAGTTAGCAAACACGGACAGTTGCCATAACCAACAGCTTGAAATCCTCTATACCTGAAAATAAACCATCATTATGATATCCATCAGATGAACGTACAGCAAAACTCCACAGAAGCGCAGAGCAATGTGAGACACTTCCTATACATAAAAAATCATCACTGGCTACACTTTCTGAATGAGCCATGCACCAAAGTCTCATTTCGGATCGTACACTCAATTCTATGGATATCGAACCTTCAGATTATGCGTGAATATGGGACAGCAAACGTTCAATGTTCTCATTTCTGATGCTCTCCAACGAGCTTGCTACCAACCAGTTGGTCAATGAGATATATAAAAAACTTATTTGATTTGGGCAAGAACCAATCTATGGAGGACCTGGGCATCATCTACGGCCCAAGCTTCATCCTGGCATGAACTGCTTAATTTGCCCAAAAGAAGGAGTAGAAATAAACAAGAAATAAGCTCCGACGATGCCCAGGGATGTTTAACGGATTTCTCTCAACAAAATCACTTGTTTCCGCAACAAGAATACCGACAGCAGCTTATCGAACAAAATCATCGATTAGTCATAGACATGGTTTTTACAGCATCTCATAATCTGTCGGCTTTGCTACTGAAGTGGCACTTGAGTTCACTGCAAAAAAAACTCACAAAAAACAAGTGCCCGCATCAGCTGCAGCTTTTATTGCGGTGTGACACAGAGGAACACAATTACCACTCTCACTCATTGTAACTGGGACCTACATAGCGAGTAACCTCACCGCAATCTTATATGCTTCTCAGCTACAATAAGACATCAGGCACAAATTCCGGAGCAGCTTCACCCAGGTTGCTAGCTAGCGTAATAGATCTCAATGAGGCATTACATTGCGAAACAGTCAGCGCTAACCACTTGAAAAGCTCCGACGTAACGTTTTTCGGGCAATAAATTGTGCTATCTGCAATCGAAATAGATTCCAAAACATTTTATTCATCTGTTGAGCCCCAGAGATAATACACAGTCATTAACACGTTGGCGACGATGTCGGTCAATGCTGACCGACAGGCAGTCTGTCACATGGGACGATGTCGGTCAATGGTGACCGACAGCTTGAAAGTAAGCAAACTTAGATGGAACCCGCGACTTTTCTATTTCAACGTTTACTTCAGTGTCCTAACTTACTACACTTGTCTGCGAATTATGATCTTTCTAATTCCTGGGAGTTTTATTCTGAATTAGTTATCAGTGGCAGAAACGCGCTGTCAATTGAATCACAACCACAAAGTTCCCACCGTCAGCAAACTGGAAATCTCACTACAAATTGTTCATATCGACCTTCATATTAGTCACCGTTAATAGAATGTCCATTTCTAGCTTAGGTTCCCACGATGTTCCAAGGTAGGCTCAGTCTTACTCATAGGCAGGACAAAAGTACCTATCCAGTCCATCAACTGCCAAATATTTCACAAACAATTTTTTTGACCTTGAAATGACTCGTTTAAATCTCTTATTCGATCATGAAGAACAAGATAACAGTCAAACAAAAGCTCATTCCGTCAGGTACGCAAAGTTTTTTGCGTCGTTCTTGAGTGAAAAATTCGTAGAAGATTTCAGATGTGATCAGGATACCAGTACCATCTAAAGGAAAGCTCATATTAATAATAAAAATGAAGAATGCGTGAAATTGCGCCTTCAGAACCTATTCTAACAATGAGGTTTGAGAATGCCAGGCGTCACTGAAATTCACCCAGCATTCAGTAGTAACAACTTTTCCTTGTTTCTAAACGTGTCTGGAGTACTCTAGTCAAAGGCATTTTGTGCATTTCGAGATTTTACAGAGCTACAAAATAAGATTTTGCCCTGTGTTACCGGCGCTTTGCATGCAAAAAACGTCTCGTCCCATGCGCGCGACAAGGAAAAAATCGCTCGTCATCAACGTGTTAAGCAGTCACGGATTTGCAGAAGCTGAATTTGAAATCAGATAGAGATACGAAAAGCATGAGTTTGTGGAAACGTTTGTTCCCAAAATGTTCCAAGACACCAACATCTTAAAAGTGGAATATATATCAAGCATTATGGGAAATCTACGCGGTCTCGGTAACAAAACAGAGTGGTTTGGGTCGAGTCAACAAACTTTGAATAATACTCAGAGGCATGGCTTCCCATTCATCCATCAAACTTTTCGTGTTTCTGCGCAGTTTGCCCTGATAACGTCTCTAGAGTTCTTTCCGCATGGGTTCTATGTGATTTAAATCCAAGGCCGCTGCCATCGGCTCAACTACCCCGCAGGCCTGACCCGGTCGGAAAGATCTTGAAACATGCTCTTTAACAGCCAATGAAGGAGAAGGAATCGCCTACGAGCTGCGTTCAAACGCGGTATGTTGTTGTGTTTACGAGAAAAGCGAAGTCGACCACAACCACACCTGCAGCTAGGTCCTCGTGATTTTTTTCGCAAGCTCCTATGTATAACAGAACATTCCATCCAGTTGGAAGGCATGTAAATGAGCACATTCGTGCATTAAGTTGGATCGGGGGTTCACAGATTTTGGGGCTAAACCTTTCGTGTAAAGAGCGAAGTAATTACTTGCACTATTCCTTGGCAAAAAAGAACTTCCTTTTGTCTTTAGATAGGATTTTGCTTCAATCACTCGAAGTCCAGGAGCGTTGGCGGCGAAAGCTACTCGAGCTTTCATTTCGATTTGAAGCCATCTGTAGGGGATTAGGTGCCAACAAGTAGTTCCCATCCGAGGCAGGGAAAGAAGCGATTCCAAGGACGCGCGATGTCGCGACGCCCCTTGTTTTTTGCGCGCAGCGCGATGTCGCGACCCACAAGTGCTAGGCAACGGCGCAGAGGTTTTGTCGTGTGTGAGCGCACGCATAGTCGGTCGGACGACAGCAACGATCGTAACTGTCGCACAGCATTGGATGCGTATCGATCGTCGGACTTGCCTGAGTATTCGACGATTAGATGCAGTTAGACAGTCAGACAGTTGCGATCGTTGCTGTCGGACGACCGCATAGTCGGTCGTCCGACAGCAACGATCGCAACTGTCTGACTGTCTAACTGCATCTAATCGTCGAATACTCAGGCAAGTCCGACGATCGATACGCATCCAATGCTGTGCGACAGTTACGATCGTTGCTGTCGTCCGACCGACTATGCGTGCGCCCTGTGCTGTCTTCTTTACCACTAGAGGGCGCATACGTGACGTCTGCGCCCTCTAGTGTGAAACGTGCTCTCTCATCTTCCCCCCCCCCCAACGCAGCGCTCTGTCTTTCGCCCTCCAACGGCGACACATGCAACAAGGAAATTTCAGTGTTTTTATGGCGCTATTTGCTTTTTGATTAATGCTTCCTCGTCGCACCTTCTGTTAAATTTTCAAACAGATAATACAGCAATTCGATCCCAACCCGTGCCTTTAATCAACCGTTAGTTAATAGTATTCTCATCAGCACATCCCAGCGTTCGCCTAGGGACTACATAATGAGGCTGATGCCACCGCTTCCATTCTTCACGAGAATGGCGCTGCAGGAAAAACAGCGCTAGCTTTCGAGTGATGACGCAGCGTTGTTTGAATGAACTGTACTGCTCAGTCTTGAGAGTTCTGAAAAGAGCTCTGACTTAGTTACATGGGGAAAGAATGATATGGCTGAAGTGGGACATCAGCGAAAATGTTGCACAGAAAGAAAAGGAAGGCAGAGCGCAAACAAATAGCGCTTGTTTAAAAATCAAGCCAAATTACAGTATAACAAAAAAATCAAGCCAAATTACAGTATAACAAAAAACTTGCATATAAGCGCAAATCTCTTCGTTTATAGCTCGCTATTGCTAAGCGGCTCAAATGTGCAAGGCCTCGGAATTTACAGCTGTGCATATTCTGATCCAGGAAAATATTCTCCGCGATCTTTTGAAAGACACTGCATCTGCATAAGGCGAACCCATTCCTTTTGCAGTTCTCTCAATTTGAAATCTCCCCTACTGTGAAGCTGCCAACAAAACTTGAGTATGTGCCATTCATGTGGGTCGAAAAACCGCACCAACGGCGCTCAAGATTTTCGTGTGGCTGAGGCCGTACGGATTTTCTTCGTTATACAACGCTCTATGCAGTGAGTTGTCAGCGACATGCTGACTCTGTACGCTATCTCGCCTGTTCTGTCGTAACGGAACCCGGTAGCTCTTCGCCGGCTCGCTCACTGCTCAAAGAGAGGTCCCTCAAACTCAGCGTTTCTGGGTGTTTTCCCCATTTCTCTTCATTGGTGGTTCACATCCCACTCAAACCTCATTTTGAATGAAGTGGTCAATTCCTTTGATGTGGAATGTCCCTTTACGCTCGAAAGTCAATTCCCACTTCAGCCGAAAGAATATTTACTTAAGATAATCTAAGATATATACGTATTTGAGAACACGATACATGCAAAAATAATAGAGTCGACGACAGAATTTGGCGGTAAAAATTCTTCACCCAATGAAAACCCACAACGAAGGGAAGTTCTTCCCTGGAGGAAAAATCGCAATACGTAAACGATTCGCTAGTG